ATGAAGAAAATTATTGTATCTAGGAGAAGGTTTTTCAGGGTTACAAATGGAATTTAGGAACCCAAGACCATTCGGTGTTCATGAGACTTTAGTACTCCTCAGAATCTTACATCTGTGCTTTAGATCTGTCAGTGCTGTATGCGCATGGACACATACATAAAAACAAGAATGTAGGATAATGTAGATGAACTCTCTGTGGTAGATACTAATTTTAATGGATTTATTTGAATACTGTTATTGTGTATTTTTGGATGAATAAATATAGGGCATCTCAGATGCAAACTTGTAATTACTTCTGCTTGGTTTTCCTTAGAATTTATACCGGTCTGACATGAACTTTATGCGAGGAGTTGGATGTATTACTCCAGGGGCCCTAGAGATTGAAGGAAGGAAGAAAGCTTCTGAACTCATCAGCGAGGTAACAAAAGAGGGTTTTGATTTCTCCACTACAAACAAGAGTTTGCCAGATGTCTTTCTATTAAACTGGGCTGGCAAAATGGCTCACTGGATAATGCTAGGCTCCCTCCCCTTGTGTTTGATCATTCCATTTGTGTCCTAACTGCAGATGGGTGAACCTGATGGAATTCAGGGGTTTGCAGACTTTGCTAACTGGTTTTGCCAATCTTTTTTCCTGTGTTTCAGACCCAGGAATTTGTTATTTTATGTTATTTATTTTAAGTTTAAAATGGGCTTTTTCAACTAAAAATAAGGCTGTGCCTGTCTCTAATAAGTAGCTTGTACTATTTCTCCAAAATTAGACTGACCTGGGGAGTGTCCAATACATTACACTGTCCTCAGCTTTGCTCCTGCTGTAGAGTCTTTGTTTTTCACTTGCTGCTTTTGTGTGCTATTATTTTTCCCCCTCTGTAACAAGATTTTTATTTCCTCTGTCATGTTCTCTTCTTAGAGTCTCTCCTAGTTTCAAATCTTGGATCTACTGCCCATATTCACATAGATGTGAAATTAAGAAAAATAAGAGTGCTCTTCCTAGTTATGTTCTAGTGAATGGATCCCTGCTTGCAGTGATCTTGCAGTTATTTTGTTCACAATTCTGACATAGGACCACAGGCCAAGTGGAACCTCATTTTTCTTATAAAAATGTTTAGTGGGCTTGTGCAGACCTTCTCTCTGGATTGGATTGTCTTTACTGTAATTCCACTAGCCAGGGTTAATGACACCAAGGATTGAAATAAAACCTCATTACTGTATTCAGCATAGCAGTGCTTTTTTTTTTTCACCTTATTCCTTATTTACTTTTCGTTTCCCCTGTGAGACTTGAATGCATCAAATTCAGAGTAGCAAAAGGTAAGTTAGTCTAACGGTTAATAGACACATACCCTTGGCAAAGTAGAGTTTTAAGCACAAGAAGCAATACTAGACCACTGGTATTGGAAAAAGTCCCTTATCTGACAAGACAATTTAGTTATTCTGTTCATTTTTCTTTGTGTGTGAACTCAGAGTAAATATCGTCAGCAGCCACATTCCTTCAAGTACACATCGGTGACAGACTCTCCTGGCCTCCTTCATGCAAAATTCAGCAATATGATTGCTAATGAGGTAGGCTCTCCTAACGTGAATCAGAAAATACGCTTTTCAAAATGCAGCAAGCTAGGGATGGAGGAGTGGGAAAGAGAAAAGCCTGTTCTGAAAGCAAAATGCATCAAAAAGAAAGCAAGCATCACTGATTTGTGCTTTTTCACAGAACACATTTTATTATTTCCAAATATTTAATACCATTTTCAATTCAATCTCTTTTAAAAAGCTTAAATAGTACCCATGCAATAGAGTCCTGTTATCAGATTTTTTTACATGAAACAAAGCCTCAGAAGATCAGTTCTGCGGGGTGTTCTTGAGGGAGCTCATTTGCATAGTATGTTCCACTTTAGAGTGCTCCTAAAAAAAGAATCACTTTTCTAATATTTGAAAAACAAGGCAAAACCCATAGGCAAATTATCAAAATCATCTGTAATAACATAAGGAAAAATCCAAGCTAGAAAATATGGCCAGTTTACCAGTAATGCCTCCCCTTTTATTTAACACACATTCATGGTGCCCTTAATGATCTTAGGTCCCCTTTTGGCCTGCTGGGAACATACCAAATCAAGGCTAAGAATGTAGTGGGTTGGCGTCATGATATATGTATAAAAATTAATGTAAAAGTTTTTTATGCCCAGAAAAAAAACCCCATGCAATTGCAATTGCAATGATATATTCTTAGCTGGTTTTTGTCCTGGCTGACTGTAGTTGTCATAATTATAAAAAACTTAAGTACTGCTGTTATGTTATTGAAACAATAGAGAAAATTAATTGCAATTGTCTTTTTTGATCTCTTTCCTAGCGCATATATAAAGCGGCAGGAGAGGACAGTCAGCATCACTATACACCAACACTGGGTCTGCCTGAGTTTACACGGGCAAGAATAAATGCAGCCAACCTCAGCGATGTAAGAATTTGTTCTGTATTTCTTATACTAATTTGGAGGATGAATTGTGCAGTGGCAAGGAAGATGGATAAGTAGAGGACTTTTTAGATCTATTCTATTTATGCTTTCCCTGATTTGATTATAATGATATTTATCTCCATTAGCATGTATAGAGTTGTGAGTAAATTAAATCTACATAAAGAACGAGACATGTTTTGTCTGAGTTAGTAGGATTTCCCAATGATAATTTGAAAAAATCCTTTGATTATGAAGAATGAGACTGTAACGCAGAATAACAAATGAAAGAGGGTTCCTTTGTTTGTTCCTTTGTGCATTTAAAAGTGAAACAGCAATCTACATGTGCCTTTCCTACTTTAGGCAAAATACAGGGAATCTTGGCATAATCTACGTGCTCAAGGCTACAAGCTGACAGCGGAAGCACTCCCATTCCAGACTGCCAGGGCCTCCAGAGAAATTGCCAGTGATGTGAGTTGAATGATTCAACCTTCCTTCTTGCCTAATTTCTGTTAACTTCATGTAAAACAATGTCTAAAGCAGATTTTACTGAATTAAAGCAACTCCATAACCATGTGAGACAAGTGTGAGACAGAATATATTACTTATGAATGAGATTCTTTGTGTGAATTAAAAAAAAAAAAAGAAGAGGAAGAATCACTGCTAATCGGGAACCAAGCTCGGTTAAACATCTTCCAGTGGGAAATAACTAGTGAATTAAAGTATTTGCAGACAGACAAATCCGAGGGATTCTGCTCATTTCCAGGCTTTCAGGTCCTCATATAATAAAGTACCTACTAATTCTGTCCACCCTGCTTTGAGCTTTTGGAACTGCTTAGTGCTCCTGAACTGAAATGAAGTCAGAAGCAGCTGAGCGTTCTTTGAATCTCTGAAAATCTGGAGCTACCTGTCTGATTAGGAAGTGAAAATTAGTGGATGCTCTTGTACATACATGTCCCTTTAATTTCTGAAATAGAGGAAACAAATCTTGCCCTTAAACATATCCTCTCATCTGGCTAGCTGTTTGCAAAACACTCAAACATGATGGGATCCATTTCTCACAAAGCCCAAGTTCATCTCTTCCTCACAATAAATTTAATAAATGATAAGAAAAACTGATGATTAAACTAAATTTAGTTTAAAAAGTCTTCATTTAGTCTAGTATTTAGTTGCATATTTTATCTCTAATGTGATAAAATATGAATATATTTCATGTGTATTTGTTTTATGAAGCAACTATTTCTAGCTGTAATTTATAATGTATACTTAACCATATTTTGCAGAGTGCTTTTGCTTACAGCTTCAGATCTGCTCTAAAGGGTACAAGTCCATAATAGAATTACATCCACTTACAACAGATCTGAATTTGGCCCTTCATCTTGGAAGCACTTTATAAACATTAGCTACTGTAATTTAATCCCCACAACTCTCTTGTGTGGTAGATAAGTGTTATTATCCCATTTCAACTACATTATGAACTCTTCAGGGCCCAGGCCTTCCCTTTAAAGTTCCAAGCACCCTGTTGATGCTGTATAAATAATCATTATCATCATCATCACTATTTCACAGAGAGGATAAATGCGAGATCATAGGGAGAGTCATAGTCCCAGCTAAGATGAGAATGAGGGGTTGCTGGTGCTTATTCTTGTGCTCAGACCACCATCTTAGGCTTCTCAACATAGTTATTGATCCAGGAAAACTGAATTTACTCTTTAAAATAGCTGGGTGGCATTTGCAAATCTGAAGGCTACAGAGTGCATGATGTTTCTCTTTTGTATAGATTTTTTTCTTCTGTCTTTTGTTTGTTTCTCTTATGTTCTCATTCCTAGCAATGGGAATAAAATTCTATGAGATAATAAAAGTACATGATCTGAGGTTAAACATGATCAATGCCATGGGCATATTCAGAGAATATATTGAGATGTGCTTAACTTAAATGTTGCAACTACTGTGGTATTTAAATTTGAGATCAATGAGAGATTTAGACAATTACTTTCTAGTGCTGCATATGTTGGTTGTTTTTATAGACAGAATAGATGTTTCAGTGACTTATCCTAAGTTAATTAGCTAGAGTAGCCAGTCTAAGTTTGGCACTTTTTCACTTTTACCCTTCTCTATTTTTAGTACCAATATAAACACAACTTTGTGATGGAGAGAGGAAAGCATATTGGTGCCAGAAGTGTTCTGGATGACACCAGGTTGCTGCATTGTTTGCATGCTGCCAAATTACAGAGTGAACAGGAGTATAAGAAGGGATCCCAAGAAGTGTGGTCTCAGTACCATCTGCCCATGGACATGGTGAATCTTGTCCATGCCAGGAAAGCCCAGGCCTTAGCAAGCGATCAAGATTACAGAAAGAGGCTCCATGAATTTACAGCACTCCCAGAAGACATGAAGATGAAATGGGCCAAAAGAGCCCACATGCTACAGAGTGAGGTAAAGGCTTTCCTTCAATAACAAAGCTTTGAGTGACTGGCACAAACTGTATGTTGACATTGGGCAGTGTTTTTAGAAAGACCATTTGGGAACTTACGTATGTGTAGCAGCAAGATGTCCCATTGCTCCTCACATATGGAATACATGTGAATCAGAGGTTCTTGTGTTATGAACCTGATGGAAAGTCACTGTGGTCCATGTCACTTATTCTAGAGCTGAGACATACACACAGTCATCTCTCAGCTGTTTGGATCACAGCCAGTCAGTGGTTTGACAGCCACTGCTCTACATGCGGAATACTTTGAGCAGAAGGTTAAATGCTCAGAGGTTGATTTGGGATATGTTAGGTCATTTTGCAAACAGAAATGGTCATATCAAATAATCAGTTCCCCAGATGTGTTTGCAGAAATTGCTCATGCAAATGTAAGTTCAGACAAACTTTGATGACAGAAATGATGGAATCTCAGCATGGGACACGTCCATGCTCACTTTGCCTTAGTGTGTACCTTTTGTTCAGGGACAAGCCATTATCTGTATGTGCTTTCAAACAGATGTAGGTGTTGAGTGCATGCATAAAGCTGCGTGGATGCAGGTAGCTGTATCTTGACGGTTTAGGGTCCAGTGTCATTAGCTGTTCTGTAGCAGGAAGCTCTGTTTGGGCGGTTTTTGTTTTGTAAGAAAAGAATCATTCAGCAGGGAAGTGAAAAAGGTTGTTCAGAAAGTTGTGCTAACTCTTTGTAGGTCTTTAGAGAGCTGATCATTTACTGAGCTCAGGATTTTATTGTGAGACAAAGTGATGGGATATTTGTTGGATTTAGTCAGGTCTGATGAGCACATATTAACAGATATTCCAGCTATGAAAGTCAGAGTGGCAATCAAAGCACCAGAGAGCTTGTATCCTTCTTTCTTACTCAGTGTACTTGCTATCTGGCATCCCAAATGTACTCTTCACTGCCCGAAATTTTTTGGGATGCAACTGGGATGGTACAGAAGCTGTTGCTAGATGCAGCTCTTTGCCTTTCCAACTCCCATTCCTGCCTTCTCCTGTAATGGCTAACAGATGGCATACAGGTAGTTAGATCCAGAAAGGCAGGATTTTTTACTATTTACTGATGTGTGATCGTGGCTCACATGATAGGAAAGTGGCATTAGGGGGACAGTCCTCTGAAGCATGTACTTCAGAGCTTGCCTACAAAGGGACAGGATAGGAGATGAGTAAGAACGTCAGCACTTGGCTCTTTGCCTTTAGACCCCACAGGTTAGGAATCCAGAGAAATGGTTAAGGTAGTTTTGTCTGATACCCTCACTGTCTACTAGAGTAATGTACAACATGCTTGAGCTAGCTGGCTGTTATGTCCTTTTGCATATAGGGGAAAAAAAAAACCTGAAAAAATGGATGATTAGATTAAAGTCACACAGTGAGCCACTGTCATTCTGAAGGAGAAATCAGAATTGTTGGGATTGCGGATACTTTACTGGCTTTCACTTTTTATTGGGTCTGCCTTGTTTTCTTTACTGGATTAGGAGGTAGAGCAAGCCTTTAATGTGAGTAAAGAAAGAGTAATGTGTCCTCCTAGAAATGGGGTTAATGAGGAAGCATGCACCAGATAAAATAATTAGTATTCCTGACTTGAACTCACCTCAGAAAATTATTTCAAAAGGGGTTCTTTTACACCCAGTACAAACAGGTTATTACTTACTGCTTTGAGTCATACTAATTCACTCGTGGGGCCTTCTCTTGTAACTTGCATATGATACATTATTTAATTCCTGGTGGAATGAACAAATGCAAACAGTTTGGCTTTACTATGTGATATGTGCATGGCAAATGAAAAACCTCAAAATGTTAATATGAATCAGGGAGTCTTTTTAAAAAAACTTAATAGCTGTGGATACAAAACTGATAGCTAATGATTTTCATTTTTAACAGCATCGCTATAAATCAGACCTGAACTTCATGAAAGGAGTTGGTTGGATAGCTCTGAGATCTCCGCAGATAGAAAGTGTAAAGAAGGCTGGAGAGCTCATCAGTGAGGTAACTGATAAATCTTTCATGGGATAGCACGTCTGTAGGAATTGTTTACCATCAAGGCTCCTCGTTACATGACACTTACGAATGTAGCTTATCATTTCCTTTTGATGTGGGAGCCTGTTTATACAAGGTGTAAGTTACCAAGAAGCGGTATGGGAGATGCAAGTCCACTGTGTGACACCTGCTGAATATTTTCCATTCCAAATGAAACACAAGAGTATAAACAAAACATGTAGCAATAAATAAATGCAGTAAACTCCATTATGAAATTCTAAGCAGGTGGTTATGGAAGTGATATAGAAAGATACAGCATTGACAACACACTGAAGGGGCATTTGCCTGCTCAGTATCATGCATTAATGGAGAAAAATTATGAGCTGTCAAAAATGTAGTGTTCGAAAGCTTTTTGCATGTGAGTTTTCAGTGGGAAGTCCTTCTTGCTCACACACAAAAAAAGAAGTTTGGTGCCTGGGCACCACAGCAATGATGCAGCGGCATCCCCATTCCCTAGCTGAAAGAGCAACTGAGGCTAAAGCAGAACAGTATGTTTTTAATACTGTGGCTTCAGGAAGGTGGCTTTTATGTTTTACTCCAAGTATCACACACTTGGAATTGTGATATATCATTAACAGAAATGTCCTGTGGTTTTTTTCCTTTGTTTGTTTTTGTTGCCTCCTCCCCCTCTCAGATAAAGTACCGTCAGAAGCCAGAAAGTTTGAAGTTCACTGCTGTGGTTGACTCTCCAGATCTGATCCATGCTAAGAACAGCTACCTCCAGTGCAGTGACGTAGGTTTCATTTTACTATAAGTGATCTTATCTTTTGTTGTACTATAATGCATAAAAGAATTGATCTCGACATCGCTTCCAGTATCAGTTGCATTCAATGACTTTTGACTCCACAGAGACTGTACAAGGCTGGAGACTCCGAAGCCAGGCACAGGTACACCCTGCCTCCTGATCACCCGGATTTTATCCGAGCCCGCCAGAATGCACTTCACATCAGTGATGTAAATAAGCCTTTTACTTTGGGGAGTTGACCTGGTAACTGTTATCAAGGAAAACAAACTTGCTTGGGAATGAAAAACTTTCATGTATATGTAGAAGCCAGGTTCTCTGAGCCTGACCACAACTGAAAAAGCCAGAGGCTGTGGACAGCCAACATGTTGCTAGGTTTGGGCTGGAGGGATCAGGAAAAGTCTGTTGATTTTTCTTTTGAGAACTGGTTCTGCTTTCTAGGGCAGTAAGCTATTATTAAGGATTTCAGTCTTTCAGTATAGGTATGGTTAGTTACAAATTTAAGTCTACATTTGGGTGGGGAAGGAGGGAGAATTGTCTTTCCTTGACCATATAATCTACCTTCATGAAGCTGCAACACTGTGTTGAACTGATCCCTTAGGCACAGTTGTCATCAGCCTGGATGCAACTGAATCAGTGAGTGGAATTGGTTTAAAGGGATTTTGTTTCCACATTATCCCAGACAGAGGCACTCAGTCTATTCCTAATCTACTGTCCCTGATTAAATAGCTGTTGTCCTTAACTGTAGGGTCAGAGTGACCTTAGTTTATAAGAAGCTTTGAGTTCTTTGTTTGGTGGTAGGTGCTCTGTAGGTGAAAGAAACCAATAGGATTCATATTCTTTGAAGCAATAGAGGAAAAGGTAAAAAGGAAAGTGGCGATTGCACACAAATGAAAGATCAGACCTAGACCTGTTAGCACGGTGTACAGTAATGCTTGCATTGCTTCTACCCGGGCTGTCTTGCAGGATTTCTGGCATCTCAGTTTACCTTCAAATTAAGCACCACCTAGCACTAAATTCACCAGTGAAACAGAAGAATATAGTTTGAAATGTGAAGTGGATTTTGTGCTTTTTTTTCATATGGTCACAAACCCCAGAAAGGATGAATCAAAGTCTTACAGACAGCAAATGAATAAAATCAGAAAGGGACAGCCAAAAGTGTCAGCTAAGACACCATGGCTGTGTAGCACGATGCAGACTGGAAGCTATTTCAAGAAAGCTACTAATGGAAGAAGAACCAAATCTAGAGCAATTCCTCTTCAGAATGTAAATGTATTTCACATCCTCAAAGTCACATTAAATATGTTAGAACTGGCTGTTATTCCATATGAGTTAATGAAGCCACATGTGGCTGGGGATAGAGACAGGGATCAGTTGAAAAGCTTGAAATAACTGGTATTGAAATTATGATGCCATGAAACCCAAGACACTGTAAGTGGATGCATCAAAAGAGAGAATAAGGGCAATATCAATGCAATATTGATGTGACTGATGCATCACAGTTTCTAATAGAAATTAAATCACATCAAAAACAACCACATTCAAGTACAAAAGGAAACCCTGGTGGCACTTTTCAGATGAGGCATTTTATCATTATGGTGAATAGAAAAGAAGTTGAAGTGCTGTAGAACTGGATCAAAACCTTGGGGATGGTATTGATGACTCTTGATACAAATAAACCCAGTAGGATAAAACATTTATTATTGCAGTTATGGGACTGCGTTTAAGAAACTGCAGGGGGAAATGACTGTTTTGTTCTTTTCTTTTCAACACAGAAATTGTATAAAACATCTTGGGAACAGACAAGGGCATCTGGCTATGATTTTAGGATTGATGCCATCCCATTCCAGACAGCAAAGGCTTCAAGAGAGATTGCTAGTGATGTAAGAATTGTTCTGTTTCAAACACTTCCCAACCCTCTTCCCATGCCACCCCCACCCTGTAAAAATGGGTAAGTGAACCTTGTTCTGGTTTGGAAAATTGGTGACCCACTGAAACCAAATGCTCATTAAGTGCCAAGATTTTCAACTAAAGGCTCCCATTAATAATGTCCAATACCACACTGCTCTGTTTCACTTCAAAGAGTTATTCTTGTGAAGGAAGCATATTATGATGTAGTTAAATAAAATAGGTACTAGGCTATGAATAGTTAAAGCATGGTCTAGAATAAAGTGGGTCAACTTTGAACACAGAAGACCACAGTTGGCAAGAAAGCTGAAGATGGAGGAGCTTCATTGCTTGAGCTGTGTATTGGGTGCGCCCAAGAGTGCAACAGTAAAAGGACCTCTGATTGCTTTTGAGAGATGAGTATTTTGGGCTTCCTAAGTCTTTCTACTCCTTTAAAAATTAGCACAAAGGACATTCTTCTAAAGTGTCTTGTTAGATTAGGAGGTGTAGTTTGATATCAAACAAACCTTTGGTCTTTGTGCACTACAGGAAGCATTATTGATAGCTAGAGGTGGGTAAGTTATTTCATAACAGAATTTGAAGGTAATCTGAATGTGAAAATGAGATTTTCCTCTGCACTTCCTGCAGTACAAATACAGAGAAGCCTTCCTGAGAGACAGAGGGCAGCAGATTGGATTCCTCAGTGCAAATGATGATCCCAAAATCAGGCATGTCCTCAGAGTGGGGAAACTCCAGAGTGACAACCAATACAGGAGTGGATATGCCCAAAACAGGGCACAGTTCCAGAGTCACCTCAACCAGCCAGGATTCCTCCATGCTAAGAAAAGCCAGCAGCTTGCAAGCAATGTTAACTACAGGCAACCTTTGCACCAATACACTTGTGATCCTGAGCAGCTAAATGTGAAGCATGCAAAGCAGGCCTACAAACTGCAGAGTGATGTAAGTATAGCTGAGCAACACTGTCCTTCCAAGTGCTAGGAGCTGTCTGCGGCAATGTGCTTCGCAGACCTTAGCTATCAACAAAATCACATTCTTGAAAGAACTATAGTCTGTTTGCTGAAAATGAATAATTTCTTTATTATCGAATCTGTTGCTCTTTATATGCTCTCTCTTGAGCCAAACAAAATAATACACACTGGTGTATGCTTCATTCCCTCAGGTAAAATACAAGTCTGACTTGAACTGGCTCAGAGGCATTGGCTGGACTCCACCAGGTTCTCACAAAGTCGAAATGGCAAGAAGAGCTGCTGAGTTGGCATACATTCAGCAAATGGGATTGCAGGGTGCTTCTGCTCAATATGGACCTGGAGTTGTAAGTAGAGTAAACTGTTCTCACAAATCCCAACAGCAGACAGGCACACATCCTGTTTAATACTTGTGAATGCTGCCTGGAGTCTACAGTTCTCCCCATTATTTGAACAGAATATATATACTTCCCTCACGAAGCTTTGTGGCTTTGTGTACACCTTTAACTTGAAGGAACCTCTCGAGAATTCAGCGCTGTCATGGCTGAGGAATTCCTGCAGGGACGAGGAATTGCCATGGGATAGGATTTACTTATGCTATGGGATGTGTTTCCCTTAACTTGTGGATGTTGTCAGATCTCCAAGTGTCCTGGTACCTCCATGGAAAGCAGAAGTAGGGGTGGAAGGCACTCCCTGTACTACTCCCCTTCTCTTTTCCTAATTTCAGCAAGACACGTCTGTGTTGCCGTGTAATCTCCACAGGCAACTGTATTGACAGGCTCAGTATAGACTCCTAACAGCATAATATGTGCTGTGCGAGGCTCCCCAATACTGTGGGAGGCTTTTTGCAAAGGGGGAATGCTCCAGCCTCTTCCATCTCTGTCCAGCCCAAGATGCAAAAAATTACAAGCTGGGATCTTCCAGGTTTTCCTTCTCCATACTTCCACAGGGATGACTCCCAATCTACAGTGTCTCAGCATGAGAGAGCAAAAGTCCATACAGGGAATTTGTAGACCCAACAGTTAGGAAGCATTAAGTTACAATAAGAGAAGTTCTGCACTTTAAATACTTGTTTCATCTAGGTTTTAACTTTGGCAACAAGCCAGACAATAAGCCAGCCCAAGAGAAACAGGGCATAGCCATGATTTACATTCCCATCTGAAAAGTTACTCAGGAAAAAAAATATAACTCTGTTTGAGGAATGTAGGCAGTGGGGAATGTAGGCAATATCTTCTTAAGTCCTACATGTGATAATGATCTGATGGTCCCAGGGCAATCTACAGATGTGCAATTGACCTGCAACTCGGGTGTTTGCTGGCTTGCTCTTTATTTAGGGCTCAAATTAGAAATTAGGACTTGAGCACATTCAGGCCTTCGATATATGTAGTATCTAACTTACATGAATGGCCATTTTTTGCACTTTTCCATTGTGGAGATTTGCTCAGCACAGAGCAGTGATTCAGATTTTGCTCATTGGTTTGCCAGTTGAGGTAATTTTTAATATACAAATATTTTTATAGAATAATTGTTGAAACCTTCTCCTGTCCACTGGCTGTCCTCACAATTTAGTTGGGTTTGATTTAACAGGACCAATTGGAGACGGAAGGATCTCAGCAGGTCACAGTCAACCCTGACGCTTCAGAAATTCTGCAAGTCAAGAGAAGAAAAATGCAACTGTACCAGAAATAAACAGATACATGACATAACACAAATAGATTTTCATCCTGTCCTGCAAATCCTGTAGCTTTTCCAGTTTTCAGAGAAGCACAATAGATGGCATCTAAGAACTTACTGTTTTAAAAAGCAACTTAAACATTGCAATTTATAACATCTATCTATTTTTGTGTGGATATTTTATCACTGTATGTATTACAGAACCTGATATTTATTTAAAGCTGTAAATGAAGTTAGTACTAGGTGACTGGCAGGCTCAGCTTTGTACTACAGATGAATGAACCTGATTGGTAGAATAGAAAGTAATTTGTAATGAATAAATCAGATGAATCTTATTCCATACTTGTAATCTTTGGAAATTTTTATGTTCTTGGATTATTGGCACCGTTGACCTGAGAGAATACAAAAGTGTGATTCAGGTGGCTTCACAGATGAACGAGAAAAAGGCCAGTGGAAGCAAAGTTATCACTGACTGTCCAAGGGCACGACTTTTAGTGAACATCAGAGAATTTGTTCTTGATTAACAGGATGTATTCAGATCATAATTAGTTCTTCAGTCTTTTTTAAATCTTCCAAAGCAAAAAATCAGAATTAGTTTGTTAGAAATTATGGCAATAGGGCTACCCCTATTGATAGATCAGGTAGCTGCTTAGAGAAGGTTGTAAACCCTGGAATTCAGATAAAAGGGACATTACTATTTTCACAAATTGACTCTTCGCAAACATGCCTATTCTTTATATCCTGATTTAATACCAATCCTCTGTTTTTCAAATTTCTGTATAAGGTTGCAGAATCATTGGGCAAAAAAATACACGACTTGCAAAACTTGTGGAAACCCCTGAATTATCCAATAGCTTTAGACCCATTTTTTAATGATATTTAATGTCCCCTGCATCTCACTGGTATGAATTGAAGTTAAGACCATATATACAATTGTAGATCTGGAGCATAATAAGTCATTATCTCTAATCAGGAATAAAGTGGATAATTCTAATAGTGAAAGTTTTTTTGGTTTTTCAATCTGGAATGCATCACTGCTGGAATTTGTGGCTATTTGCCCTACAGAAGTGCTTTTAAAAATAATTCTCCTGACTGATCCTCCCTCCTCAGATAATTGCAGTGGCTGCAGTCTTGCAAACATAGGCATATGATGATTTTTATGTATGTGAAAAACAGCACTGGCGTTAGGAGCACACACCAATAGCTTTGAGGTGTCAGGGGCCGATGAGTGCAGAAAAAACACACCTTAGCCAGGGTCATGAGGGGAAGAGGGAAAGGTTGGCAGCAGCTGAGCCTGCAGAATTTTCAGGGCTTGAAAAGCAAAACTGGAAACATTGGCAACTGTGGCTCTGATTGATTTGGGGAAGAACTGGAGCTGCTTTACTTTCTGATCTGTTTTGGCTACAAAATGTGGGCTTATTTCAAAGCCCCCAACAGGAAAACTGTCACTGACATTCTAGAAAATTCTCTATGGCTATTTTCAAGATGGTGATGAAGGATGTCCCATGTAGGCCATGAGGAAATATCAATAACATTTTTGGTTGAAAAGGAGATATTTGGGGAAATGATAAAAATAGGTAAATATCTCAAGCTTACCATTTGCCATTCCAAAGCTGTCTCCTAATGAAGTGACCTTGACTCAGACCTAATTTTGGATTTAATCCAATTGAGAAATGTTGTCACCTGGGTATAAACTCCTGGCTTCTTTGTCCCGCACTTATCACCCCAGCTCACAAGGCCATATACATAGTAGGAGCCGTTTTCTACACAAGTTAGCGGGCCTCCGGAGTCTCCCTGATGAGAAAAAGTGCACATGTTCAAAACATGAAGCAAAACGTTAACCAAAATACGAATGCTCCTCTCCTATCATAAGACTTTAAAGCTATAATGATGTTTTTCTCCTATCGGATGTACCATCAGATGCTGCTCAGTTCCTGAGTAGGCTTGCAGTTCTGGAACCGGGTCAAATGATACCAGACTTTTTTTGGATGTAAATTTATGTTTGTTCAACTCTGTGACATATATCTGACAAGGTCACATGAAATTTCCCAGGCATGGAAGTACCAGGCATTCAGAGCCTGAGCTTAGAAAGATAAAGATGTGATCCTTCGCATAAATAAAAACACTTGATCCCTCCCACACCCCTCAAAATAACTTTATTCTGAGCTGGTTGGTCTCATTTTTTGTTTTACTGGTGATTTCTATTGCAAAGTATGCTTGCAGTGGTAGTTTGCAGTTCAGGAAGCATTGTTCAGACTCTTCCCTGTCTTATAACAGTATAAATATAAACTTGCTTTACATTTGCACTAGCTGTAATGAAAAGAAATATCAATCCTGACCTTCCCTGCAAGTCTTAGCTCTGACAGTGAAAATCAGATTAGAATTGGTGCTTATAGCAGAGGCCATAATAAAATTGAGAGAAAACCAGCAAGTTTTCAGGTTATGATGACCTAACTGCCTTAGAAGCCAAACTTTCCAAGCTAGTCTCTAGCTTCCATAGATCTGCCTGTGGCTGAAGGGACAACATTAGCTCTAGGGGTATACATCTCAAACTGTGCTGAAGACAGACGATGGCTGTTGAAATACACTGATGGAAGAAACAGATACATATGCAGCACCCTGCCAAAGCTATTACTCTGCACAGCCTGACTATTTACACAAAAAATTAGTGTTCAAATACAGAAAAAGCAACAGACCTGACAAGAATCAGCTCTGGGTCTCCGAAGACTTCCTGCACAAAACATGCTTTCATCCAGCATGTGATCATATGCTCCGGGTGCATTGCATTTCCTCTGCAAAATCAGCTTGACATTGGCATCTAACAGCTGATGAGATACTTCATCTATGGGATGTGCACCAAAAAAATTGAGTCACTGTCCTCCCAATCCTGTTACATGTTATCTTTGTTCAAAATAGGAGCTTGCTTGCCATTTGGATGGGAAGGGGGAAGAGCAGAGGGGATGCATGGGCTAGCCTGAGAAGAAAAGAATGATCTGTCTGAAATGATAAGGGTTAGAGTTGGAGCCTGGAAGCTTCACTCAGGATACGGAGTTGTTGCCTGAACAAAAGCAAAGTCAGGTATTCAGAATTTGGCTCTGATCAGCTCCACCCATGTAATCCTGCTTTTCAAAGGTGCTGGTTGTCTGCAGCTCCTGTGGGTCCCAGTGGGACTTTGAGCTGCTCAGCATTTCTCAGACTGGTGCCATTAGATGTTTTAACACGCAGGCTAATGAAACAGATGAAAATTGAAAATCATACAATATTTAAGGGCAATGATTAATTATAGTGAATCTAAAGACATAACTTGACATCTAAAGGCAATAGCCAGAGTTTCAAGGCACTACATCTGTAGATAATTAAAGGTGGTTTATAAGTTTGGTTCTGCTTGAGTTTCAGGAAATATTCCATTTCTGCAGTGATTTCCTGAAATGCTAATAATAGCTCTGCTCAAAGAAGGAGCCAATCTAGTTTGAACACGTACAGGGTACTTGATATTCTTTGTTGGGGGAAAAAAATTTACCTGTACCCTTTTTAAGAGAGACTTTTTATTTGGAACTTTTAAAAAAATGTCCATTAAATTCTGTTGGTGCATTCTGATCAAATGAACACGCTTGTCTCTTGTGGACTTCAATGAGAGTTACATCAGAAGGGAGAATTTGGTCCTATGTATCGTATCAGGCTGTATCAGTCACAAAGCACTAGGACACCTACTGCAGCCTCAGTGACACATTTTCCTTCTGCTGCTTTACAGCAACACATCAATCAGAACATGAGAAAATGCATTTTTCAGAAAATTGCCATTATCTTTTTTTAAGCATAGTAATTTCTCCCCTTAGGATTTACTGCGGGCAAGAAAGGTTTTGGATAGAGCTGGTTGAACTTGAAAAGCTTTGGATTTTTTTTATTTTTCAGCGCATCTGAAGATCCAGATGCTGCTTCTGAAAAGCTTTATCTGACCCAATGGGCTGGAAAACCATGTGAAAATTCCCGTCTTTCTTGGTCCTGTCTTGAAACACACAAACTATACAATAGCCTCTCTCTTGATACCTTCTTGCTTCTATTGCTGGCTTCAGATGAAACCATGACATGGTGTGTCAGATGGCAAGCAAAAAAAAATGCATTGGGGATTTTTTCAGAACTCTGAAAGGTTTGGTTGGCCTAGCAGTTGGAGATTTCTGCTAATGAGTAATTTCCATGGCAGGGTTTAGCTGTCCTTAGTTTTGAATTCCATGTCGTGGTTTCACTAAGTGCCTAGGCCCACATTTGGGTCTGGCAATTGCTACTGAAAGTACCAGCCCACCTTGCCATGGAGGTACCCACCAAAATCCAGCTAGCCCATAAATACCTGTCTCTGTTTCGCCCCATCCAGAAATGAAGCAGTCAGTCCCAACGGGAAAGAAGAAGTTAGGCAGACATGCTGTTTTCACATACTTTGTTTCCACTGCACAGTGACCATTAACTGGCTTCAGTTTAAGTAGGGCTGGAGAGAAGATGAACGACAACAAAAAGTATTTGTAACTAATTTTAATCCCTAGCCATCATTACCAGTCTATAACCCAACCCTCTGCAAAGCTGCATACATCTGATGTGCTTTTTGCACAACGTGCTGAACCTGCCCCTCTTTTTTTAGCCTTCCTCCCCCCCAGTGACTTCCGCCTGCCCGTCACAATTCACATCCCAAAGATTCAAATGGGTCTAAACCACAATTTGGCCTGATTATTTCCAGAATATGTTCTCAATGGGAATTTTACATTGACTTTAGTTGGAAGGAGGTACTTCAAACAACTGAGGTTGGAGGTGAGCACATGAATATTCAACAAAAGGGATTTACCAATATCATTGTGTGGGACGCCATCCTTCTCTCTGTATTTGTTATGCACGATGGTCTTCTCCACATCAAATATTTGCTCTTGATGTTCTCTCTTCTTGAGGTCTTGCTTTCCAAGGACTACTTGGAGATTTTCTGCTGGTTGTCTGAAAAAAAAAAGTAAATTACATGCAGACCATTGTCTATCAGTGGTGGACAAAACCTGCATCTTTAGTATCTGGAAGTGAAGATATTGGTTCCTCTTGTAGAGCACGGCCAGAAGATTTCCTAAGATCATTATAGGAGGACTTAGGCAGGGAAGCGGTGGTGTTGGACAATACATGTGATCTTAACTTGTTGCAGTCATGAAATAAAATTATTTAAAGCTGCATGAATACTCTTTGCATTTTGGGGCAGAGTAGCAGTGTGCACACAGTCTATTACTGTGGCTGTGATGATGAGGGGTAACTCATGGAGCCATGGGAGTACAATTGCTTGCCATTGTCTGGGCATACTTAAAATCATCTCTGCTGGAATGATCTCCAGTGTGAAATTTACTAATTTCCAAGGATAGTGTTTTCCAATCTGTTCAACAACAATGTTGAAGGAAACATAATGTTCTGAGCTAGCTGACACATAAACAATTGAAAGCGAAAAGCATATTTTGGCTGTTCTGGAGATCTTAATTATGATGCAATATGTGATGTTGCTTATGGTATCCCAATATCCCCTGAGGTTTTCATGGACTCCTTCTTTCATACATTGCAAAACTTTGTTACATCCCTCTTCTTTTCCTCTCACACAACTATTTTAGCTCAATTTAAGTGAGTGGGGGGTAAGTTTAATTTGTTATTCTAACAAGCACCAATTTTAAGTATACATATATTTTCATGTATGTGTTCATTTTTTCACATTTTCCTTTCAGTTTGATTCCCAGAAATTGATTGGATTGCAAATAATTTGGATTCCAAACTGTCTTTAATAACCATCCTGATTTTTATACGTTTATCTACCCTAGGCATAGGACATGCACCTACTGAATGCAGTGCCCAGCAGTAAGAACCCAGCATGCTTTAATTAGCACTCCACCACAAAAATGTCTGCTCCTTTTTGAAGTCTTAATCTGCAGAGATGCCATCCAGGGATGTTTGCCAGCTGTAGTCTTAGCTCCACCATAGATCTTCTTGAGTGTGCTTTGAACTTCTGGTTGTCCACATGTTTCGAACATTTCATTTGATCCAGGTGGGTCTATTGAGCTGTCTGTTGGCCATGGGCTCTCTTCAACTGCATTATAAGAGACAGCAGATGTATAATACACAGATAATATCAGACTGGAGGAGTTAAGTAACAGGAGGTCACCTGCTGCTCTGGACCACCTACACACTGCCAAACAGCTTACTTCTAATTCTTTACCTGTACCTGAGCAGGGTGAAATGTCACAGAAGTCCCATTCCACTTTGTGATTTTTTCTGATGTAGCACCAGGGTTTCTCATCCTCATCGGGATTCCTGAAGGGAACAGTTGAGAGCATCAGCCAACAGGAATAGGGAGATGTCCACGAAACCAGGAAAGGAGCTGAGGATGCTTAGGGGAGCAGCCTCATGCTCCCATATGAGAGCCAAACTTCCAAAGATATTCTTTCATAAGATTTGGCAAAGAAGGTGCCTGAGATAAAGGAGTGGGGCTTCTGCGATTTTACTATCCCCATACCTATCTTAACCCTGAGAAAAATGAGGAACTGATTGGGGGAAATGAGGGCTGCTTCTGGAAGCCTCACATCAGTACAATGACTTAGGGAATGCGCCTCTAACATCCTGGTACTTTATAGACTGCAGCGTCTAGAAAGATGTGAGATCTTAACACCATCAGTTTGCCAAATTAATGAGCAGTTTGTCCTCAGTGCTCTCTTAGTTCTAGACCTCTACAGTTGCTTCTTCCAAATATTACCTGCAGAAGTTATGTTCACCAATGCCATAAAAGTCAGCATCCTCCATAAAGGAATTAAAAGGGTAGTCCAACAGAACGTGGGAATTCCAATGCAGGCAGGTCTTGCCATTCACTGCTTGGTTCACTCTTCCTCTGTACTCAGAGGAGGCCTTTTCGTAACAATCATCCAGTCCTGTAGGAAGAAATGCTGATATGAAAATGACATTTGTGTTGTTCCTTGCCCAAAGTGGTTCCTCTTCCTTCCCTTCCTTGCCCTATGTTCATTTTATGGAGGATAAGAAGGACCTGCTGGTTCGTGTAATGATATCCTTTATCCTACATAGGCCAGAAATAAGAGTAATGTCCCAACATCTGTCCAGTTTGAAGACTGATTGACTTCAAATGCCTGAAACGTCTTTGCATGGTAAAGACCTGGTAGCTAAGAGGTGTCTTAATGCCAAAGCAGAATCTCTCCATCAGTGGCCTGGGCAAGAAATGGTATTGGCAGAGCTGCTATTGAGCTAGGGCAATGGATATGCCAAAAGGAAGGTTGTGGGGTTGTGAACCTAACCTGTAGGCGAGGTGGAGGAAAGTCACCTGCTATGTGGAGCAGGTAGTGGTACATGGAGTTTGAAGTGCCATCAACTTTTAAAAGAGTAAGAAACAAATCCTTCTCCTTGGAAACCTGTGTGGGGTGTGGTGCCCATGGTGGTGCTGCAGAGGCAGAAGTCTCTCCATGAAGGCTGGGGTAATCCCATGCCCTTAGCCACCCATCCATGCTTCAGTGGCTGTCCCCCCAGCCTGGGTAGTCTCAGGCAACTGGACATGAATCTTCACTATATCAGCTTTTGGGTGTTTAAGGAAAGCCTGATGTTCCTTCTCCATGGGACACGTGCAACCTCTGGGAATTGTGTGTTCACCCATTATATACCAGTGGGACCTTGCTGAAGCACACTTAGAAAACATCAGTATGGGGACTGTTGTGAGCCCTTTTGCTGATGGTGGCTGCAGAAGTCAGCCTCTTCCTCCATCACTCTTCCCAAGGAGGCTGGTGCCCCAGGTACAGTCAGGTACTTGGTGCGATGATGGCATCAATAGGTCTGACTGCAGGGCGAAGCCAACCCTTGGCTGTCTGGAGGCTTCGCCCTTACCCTCTCCCCTGGAGCTGTGACATACCGATCTCACAGAATCTCCCTCTGAAAGGCTCAGGGCACTCGCAGGTGAATTTTGATCTGATTCTGTGCCGTATGCAGATACCTCCATTTTTGCACGGGTTTGGTTTGCATGGTGAAGATGCTGTCAACGTGGAAAACAGAACAGCCTTGTCACTCTGCTGAGCATTATGCAGCCATTCACATGCCCGATGGAAACTGGGGAGAGCTCCCACTTAGCCTGTTGGCTTCAAGTTCTTATGAACTCTTGAAAAACACTTATCATGGGGGGGCTCGCCAGTGAATGAACCACCACCCTGTAAATCAATCATGACTTATCACTGCCCAGCCCCACGGATGGGAGCCATAGCAGACTCAGACTGGACGACCAGGGCAGGACCTGCAGCGGGCTGCATGTGAGGTCCCACTCCTGACCGTCTGTGGTGAGGCGACCTCGCCGTGCCATCCCCACTGCAATTCACTCAGCACCCCGCTAAGCGGGAGCCTTTTCTGATGGGGCTGTGCTCACCTCGTTGGCAGTCAGGTATCTTGTAGGGGTGATTGCAGCTGCACTGAAAATAAGGTGGGGTTAATGTAATCAGGCAGTCTCCCCCGTGGCACCTCTTCTCCAAACACATGTCCTTCACTGTGGAAAACAGAGACATGAGGTACTTCATCAGCATTTGTGTGTGCACGAGAGCTGTGCCCTCGCAGGGATCATGGGAAGACATGCTTTCTCCTGGTGCTCTGAGGAAGCTTTCACCTGTCTGGTGTGGACTTGAGATTTCCCTTCTTGTTCACACTATCTACGGAAAAAAATCTGCAGGACCGACGAACAGTTCACCACTGCCCACCTGGCAGGGGATACAGGAGCGCTTTCTGCACACCTGAAGTTTATTTTACTGGATACCACTTCAGACAGACTTTGGTCTGGACAGGGAGCTAAGGGTGACACCTATGACATGACTGCGGTGGGCTGTCAAAACCCTCACCCCAACAAACTGCGGGTTCATAAAGCCCTGTGTTTGTTTCCCTTGACAGAGCTGTAACAGTAACATAGTTGCCAAAATAAGGAGGGTAAGTTAACAGAAGAGCAATTACCTTCCTCGCATGTAGTCCCAGCATACGGCTTGGGGCAGAGACAGCTGAAGCTGCTTCCTCTGTTTTCACACCTACCGTTGTTCTTGCAGGGGTTGGAGGAGCATGGGTCCGCTAGGGTAAGGATGGAGATCTTTTAGTATAACTTTCAGCTTGTCCACCTCCATCACCTGCTTTTTCTTCTCACATTTTCTGTCTGCAGAAGGCTGCCTTTCTGGCCACAGCATATCGTGTAGCAGGTACCGCATTTACACATCAGCTCATCAGCAGCAGGAGCAGCTATGAATTGCTGCAGAGTCTCTTGAAAGCTGTAACAGCTCGCAGCTTTGGATCTGGAGCTCCTCGGCTCCCTTTGCCATGGCTGGAAAAGCCATCCACCACCATTGTACTCTATAATACCCCTGGGTGGCTATTGCTGCAAGGGAGCAGGCATCTGCTGAGAGTCACCTGAATGCTGCTCCTTACACCACGCTGAACCTCGCTACTCCACTCCAGGCTGCCAGGAGCAATTGGCGTTGGGGCCAGCCACATATCAGCTCTGCTTTCTTTGTACCAGGGGATAACCCAGGGGATGTTACAGGCGACTTCCCTGTCTCTCCTTTTGTGTTCCCTGAGCAATCTCAAGGATCTTTTCCTGCTCTCCAGAAGTTTGGCAAAACAGGAAAAGAAAAGAAAAAACCCTGCAACTGAGAAAAAAGAAAAGAAAAAAAAAGGGAAACCTGCTCTACATTTGGTTCCCAGCATAAATACAGAAAATATATGTCCCATGAAATCAGCAATTACATCTTACAGTGTCTATAGACAAATAAGCCTGTGCTTTTTTCTAGTAGCAATCAGAAATGTTCTGCATGATCAGAATCCATCCTGTGAAACCCAGAGATAAAACACAAGCTCCTTACAAGAGAAATACAAAGGAGAACACTGCAAACAATCTTCCTAACTCATCCCTTTGATGCAGGCATTTCAAGAGCAAGCTGGCAGCCGAGGCCTGCCACGCTCATGCTGCAAGCACAGGGTTGGGATTTTACCCTTTACTCGCCTCCCTGCCCACCCCTCAGAGGTACCTTCTCTGATATCGCTGTAGCCAAAATATGCCTCAAACCAGTCAGGGTCCTCCGAGGACTGCTGCTGGTGGAAGAGGTCTTGCTCCAGTTGCGTGTACTCATCATCATACTCATAGTCGTCAGCCTCGTCTGCAGGGAGGGGTGAGAAGAGGGTGGAAGAACAGAGGAATTGAAAGTGCTAAAAGGAGAGAAGGTATGAAAGAAGTTATTCCCTGGGACAGACAGTCCTCTTCTCCTTCTGCTCATTTGGGATGTCAGTGGGTCTAGAGTGTGCATCATCTTGAGGAGCAAAGGTGCCGTTCAGCTCTTCCTTGGTGTGGGCAGAGCTCACGCAGTGCCCAGCATGGCCAGCCCTGCGCACCGCTGGCCCCAGCTCTGCCCTCGCTGCTGCTCCTGGAGGGAGCTCAGCCGGCTCCTGCGGTGGCAGCTGGGACGCCCCGGAGGGGACACAGGCGGGGGCTCTGCAGGCGTGGGCACGAGCCCCCCGTGCGGCACCACAGCCCGGGGAGATGCTGATGGCTGTTGCCAGCACAGGGACAAAAGGAGATTTGGCTTCCTACAAGAAGGTGCTTTCGTTGTCCGGCTGCTTTGATCAGCAGCATCACCGCTGCTACAGCACGAGGCAAGACCTTCACTGTCGTGTGGGTGCCTGCTGCGCGTTGGGACACAGAAACCCATTTTGAGGGAAATTGGAGGGGAGCGAGGGCCCAAGGCCCCTGCACACCTATGGGGCTCCCCGTGCGCAAAACCCCTTTTGAGGAGCGAGGGCCCAGAGCAGCAGACACGTGCTGAAGAGCCCGTCCTTGCCTCAGGGGAGCCTGCAGCCTCCCAGCAGCCAGTGTCCTCCCCGGGAGCCCGGCACCAGCGGCTCTGGCAGCCCACGCCCTG